TAGGTAGGTGTGGCTGACTCTTAACTTTTATAAAGAATATCTCTTTGGATTTGAGACTTTAGTCTTTGCAACTTCAGTCCGTCTCTAATCAGCAGCAGGTTTTACAGCTGGAAACTTGGGATCTAAACAGGAGATTCCCACACTTTCTGCCCTCAGGAAGGTCAGAAACTTTTTGCTGTTTTACCTCCATTACATTAACCCTTAAATGCATGAATGTTTTGCCAATCATTATTACATAGGCTATTCGGGTCTTTAGCGACCTGGACCTATATATCCAGCATGGATGGATCTCTATCTGCTGCAATAGCAAAAAACTCTCTTGATATTTTAAGAACAATTACAGAAGAATAAAATAAAGCATATTTCGTTACCTTTTGAAACTTAAAAGGGTTAAATTTGAGCAGATTATTTTACCATCGCTGTCATCGTCAGAGCACACTTCCACAGTACATTCAACATCTGCCTCACATTCACGATCTCAACCATATTCTCAAAACTATCATTTTTAATGACTTCATATTCAATATTTTGATCAGTGGCAGCTTATTCATCACATCCAGCATCAAATGGCAGTGACATTTATATTTCATTGTGTATAGTAATTGCTCTGCAGTAAAGCCATTCAAACCACTTCAATTTTTGCTGATGATATTCGTTTGTTTTATGTCTGCGGTAATTATGAGTGAACCGTCACGTCATCATTGTGTATCAAACAGTGCCACCTTGAGGAAAAAAGATGCATTGCACATCATCAGATATGTAAATATAGTTGTGCAGGAAAAAATACTTACACATTTACATACCTCGGGTCTCTAGCGCCCCTATACATTTTTACAAAAAATTAATCAGAAATCTGGCATTCTTTTATATTTTCCTTTTTTTTTAATTTGTTATATTGTTTATAATTAATATATTTAGGAATACTCCGAAAGTTGATGTCTAACTTAAAAAAATAGGGTAGAGAATGATGTCCCGGGTTGCTAAAGACCTGAGGTATGCATTTAAGGGTTAAACCAAAATTAGTAGACTTATTGAATATTAACAGATGCTGTCATATTTAACATATTTAACATATTTTTGAAAAATAAAGGATATATTTCTATTGCCCTATGTTGGAAAAATACCAATTGCCCTTCCCTTGGACTATGGCTGAAAAACCTAATATCTTGTTTGGCTCTTGAAAAGCTTACATATGTAACAAGGAAGAAATCCTCTAAATTTTGGGATATCTGGGAGCTGTTTTTGGACTTTGTTAAAAATGGAGATTTGAAGAAGCTTTAGAAGTGTGACATTATGGAATGTAAGAATGTTTATGAGGACTGATTAATAAAAATCAATATATGTTTACAGTTTTTTTTTTGTTTTTTTTTAATTCTGCCTGGGAAATGTTCTGGGGAGTTGTGTAGTGTTTTTGTGAAAATTTGTAAAAACTCAAAGATATGTTATACAAATAAAGGATATATTATGCTTTATCCAATTAATGATAATAATTATTATACATATATAATTAAATATTTATTATGAATCATTGATTTCTAATTATGCTTAATTTTCAATGGATAAAGCAAAATTACCACATATTGTTTAAATATCCAATTCAAAATTCATTGCAGTGTTTATTAATCTTGATTGCATGAAACAACCAATTTCATGAAACAACTAATAAAAAAAAGGTAATGCAGAGAATATTTAGATATTTTAAGTGGTTAAACAAAAGGATTAAGTATACTGAGATATTAAAGTGAATATAATTATTCAAATTTATGGGTAATGGACCAAGTTTCAAGGTTCTAAAATAAGAATTCACAAAGAAAACTGTAATGCATTGGCACATGTACTATACACGCTAAGTATTATTTTAAGAATGGGTTTTAATTAATGGGAGGAAAATAAACAAAAAGTAAGGCAATGTTTTCAGTCAACCATTAATGTTGATGTAAAATATGAAATGTTACTTCCTCCTTCCTGAGGTATCATCTTTGGCACATATTTGTGCAAAAACTTTTGCATCTTTTTCCTTGAAAGCAAAGGTGAGTTTTATGCAGTCAGTGCTCCCAAACTCAAAGAAATGTCTCTTAATCATAAAAAGTGAGAGAGGAAGGGGGTGACTCAGTTTACCCAGTGTTACAGGTTTTTTTTCCTTTTTTTGGGCTCAATTTGCTTTTCACCTGTAGGTTGATGCTCCTCAATGAATGAAGGGATGGACATCTGGACAGCAGAGAAAATAATTCTTCTTGGTTTTCTGTTGAAAGGTTTGAGCATATTTCCATTCATAAACTAAATTTAATAACAAAATTTCCAGACCTCTTTTCTTGATATTTATAATAATTTCAAAATTATTTCTTACATGTTTGCATTGTGTTGTAGGTGTTTGTTGTAGAGATTTCAGCATCAGTCTGCCACAGAACATTCAAGCTCTCAGTGGATCCTGTGTGATCATAAAGTGCAGATTTGAGATTGAGGAAAAACATGACAAAAACCTCGTTCCTGAGAGTGCTGCTACAGGACTGTGGCTCAAAGATGGATATAAGATGAATGACCATCTAGTGTTTCACTCCACAGATCCCAAACCTAATCACTTTAATGGGAAAATAACTGGAAACCTACGTGAGAAGAACTGCACCACTGTCTTCTATAATGTTAGTTCAAAGCACACTGGTAGATATTACTTCAGGATTGAAAGTGGTGATTTGAAATACATCTACTCTGTAAATACCTCCACTATAAATGTGATTGGTGAGTGATTTGAGCATTTTATTTATAAACAAATGTGTTAAATGAATGTTTTAAAAGTTGTTAATGGGAAAATAACTGGAAACCTACGTGAGAAGAACTGCACCACTGTCTTCTATAATGTTAGTTCAAAGCACACTGGTAGATATTACTTCAGGATTGAAAGTGGTGACTTGAAATACGTCTACACTGTAAATACCTCCACTATAAATGTGATTGGTGAGTGATTTGAGCCTATTATTTAGAAACAAATGTGTTAAATGAATGTTTTAAAAGTTGCCGTCATTGTCGTTTTACTTTTTCAGACTCTCCCCCCAAACCCACAGTGCAGCTGTATGTGGAGCAGAAGGAGGTGCAGGATCAGGAGGAGGTGTTGGAGGGGAGCTCTGTGAGTCTGCGCTGCTCTGCTGAGACTCTCTGCTCCTCTCCTCCACCAACTCTCACATGGAGCTCCACTCCCAGAATCCCCCTCAGTGAGAGCAGCAGACTAGAGGAGCTCATCTCTGATCTGAACTTCACTGCTACTCACCGTCAGCACAGAGTCACTTTCACCTGCACTATAACCTACCAGCTACAGGACGAGAACAAAACAGCACAGGACAGCATCATATTACATGTTCAGTGTAAGTGATGCTTTGTGATGCTTTTTAGTTTTCATATTATTGTGATCTTTATTGTGAAGCCCTGAATTTTTTCCCTTCAGATTTGCCTAAAAACACATCAGTGTCTGTGCTTCCCTCCAGCTCTGTGTTTTAAAAATTTTAAGTTTTAAAATCATAAGTTTTAATAAAGGCATAGTTCACCCCAAAAATAATATTCTGTCATGATCTGATCTTATGTTGTTCCAAACCTGTATGAACTTCTTTCTTCTGCAGAACACAAAAGATGATATTTGGATTTTGCCCATACAGTGAAAGTCTATGGGGTCCATACTGTCTTTTTTGGTATATATATATATATATATATACACACACACAGTATATATGCTCATATAATATTGTCCTCTACATTAAAGTAAATGCCACTTGTTTTGATATTGTGTTACCTAATGCACATGCATTCATATATTTTGAAATGAAGCTTATTTCCAAATAATTGGCCCACTTTATATGTAACTGACAGAAATATTACGTACCCCAACTTCCCTAGTAAGCTATGTCAATCTGTTAACTTTGCTTCTCAGATGCCCCTAAAAACCTGACAGCTTCAGCGATTCCCTCCAGCTCTGTGTTGGAGGGCAGATCAGTGACTCTGACCTGCAGCAGTGATGCAAATCCAGCAGCGCTGAACTGCAACATTTATCACTGACAGGAGCGGAATCATTGTAGTTATTTTGTTTTTCTAATTTTAATACTTTCAGATGCCCCTAAAATCTCTCCATCCTCCAGCTGTGGCAGGACTGATGTAACTGTGTGTTCCTGTGAGGCTGATGGGAATCCCTCTCCTGAACTGGAGTGGCATCTGTCTGGACGTCCTGTCACTAACTCTTCAAACACGTTCATCAACCACGACGGAGCAGAAGACCACCACGGCGGAGCAGAGGGAACCGGAACCCCCCCCGGTGAACCACCCCGACCAGGAGACCATGGCGGAGACTGTAACAACGAGAGAGCAGAGACAGACAACACAGACAGAACATTGGGGTTGATAGACAAGGCTGAGCGTTCAGAGGCAGCCTCCTTGGCTGGGTCGGGACAGGACAACAGTTCACAAATGAGCTCCCGGGCTGAAGCAAAGCAAGCAAAGAATTCACAAATGGCCTCCATAACCGTGACAGGACAGGATGAGGATTTCCCGACGGCCTCCATAGCCGTGACAGGACGAGCAGGGAGCTTGCAGGCGGCCTTTATAGCCGTGACAGAACGAGCAGGGAGATCGTAAACGGCCTCCATAGCCGTGACAGGGCGAGCAGGGAGTTCGCAAACGGCCTCTATAGCTGTGACAGGACGAGCAGGGAGTTCGCAAACGGCCTCTATAGC